ACGTTAACCAAGCTGCCTGCAAAACATTTTTCCTTGGGACATTCTGTTACGTTAAAATCAATGCTTTCCAAAGCAGGAATTGCAACATCTCTGTACTGCTGGTTCCTAACTCTGCTCAGCATTGCTCTTTGTAAGGAAAACTCTATTTGTATGTCAAAGATATAGCACTATTTCTGTACACAATGCATTAAAAAAGCTTGCTTGTCCGGAGTTAAATCCTACAAGCCTTTTGCAAATAAACTTTTATAATTCTGTTGTGATCCACTGGAAGGTTTTCAACACCAAAGCTACTCAGGTTTCATCCACATCTGTGTCCCTTTCAAGACATTAAAGCCTTTTTTGTGCAGAGCTGATCTATTGTGCATGGGGTGTATTACAAGGGCACGGTCCCACAGGTTTCTGATGCACTTGTGGGAGGAGAGCCATTGATTTATTGTACCAAGAAACATCAGGTGCACTGGTATAACCTTCCAGAAGCATTTCTCTCAGGAGATTTCAAAGTCACTGCTCAGTTATCCACGTTCTCAGCCACTTCAAGTTACTCTTGGTTGAGTTTTACTGCCCAGGTTTTATTTTAAATATTGACTGGAACCTATTTTTCAAAATATCCTTTAATGAAGACATGAGTCCAACAGGACATGGACTTTCTGGCGTACATGCAAAGCAAAGGTCCACCAAGTCAGAAGGTGTGGTTGGCAGATGGGCCCTGGCTCCTTTGATGCCGGTCTGCCCAGCACAGAGCGACACGAGGTAGAAGAGAGGAGCTGGCAGAGGCCACGCTGTGGGGTCAAACCCTGCTGAAGGCTCCCCAAGAACCCAGGCAATCGCACGGCACAATGTGAATCAAGAAAAGGGCTCTTCCCTCCCCAGGACAACTGATTTCTGGTGCAGCCCTTTCGATCACAGTAGCTTCTTGACTTGATTCTAAGGAAATAAGCTAAACCCATACTGTAACCTAAATCTACTGTAAGTGATTTTTGGAAAAAAAACCACAATGTCTAAGCAGTTTCCAGTTACATCAGTCACCACCATTTCATTTGTACTTTTTTCACAGAAGGAACATCACGCTCCCTACAAGAATCAAGTGAGATTAAGCTGTGAAGAAAAGAATTACGGCACAATAGAAGCAAACTGGTTTGTCAAGGCAATGGTTCAGGTACCTGTAACCAACAACTGTTTTTCCTTTAAGCCGTGCGATCATTCCGACTGGCCTGCATAGCTGCTAAGCATGAAAATTTGTTCCACAAAACCCACCAGGTTAAGAAACCTTTCAGAAGCACCGATATTTTGGGGGAGATTCTCAAGAGTTTGTGCAATTACACTTCACAGCGTTAACATGCCTCACCCACAGAACATGGCACTAACGCATTAACTTTTAAAAATCTGTGGAAGTATGCAATTTCTTTTTACATGCATTTCACTGGCTTCTATTTAAACTTCAAATTAGCTTATTGACTCAGTTCATTAATTGAATAGACTAATACTGAATAGTTGCTACTTCTCTTAAAACCAGCCAGGCACCGTTTGCCCCAGGCCGTAGCGCGCTGGTCACCGTACGGGCACTGCCAGGGCTCCTGCCTCCCCTTTCAGGAACTCTCACAGCCCCTATAACCAAGACCTCCTGCAGCCCACCTGAGTTTATCATTAATTTAACAATAGTCCGAGGGAATCTCTCCGCCCGGAGGGTGGGATTCGTCCAAAAGGGATGCAGCCACCACTTGCCACTGAAGTTCAGATGCTTCTGAGGGGAAGGCCACGAGCTGTCTAATGCTATATAAAACATGTTTGTGAATTTTTTAGATGTCTGTTGAAGTTCTAAAGTCATTAGCTCATTCTTACAAAATATGAATGGAGCATACTGAGCTAAAAAAAAATTTAGGTTTTTTTTTCCTCTCTGAACATTTACCCAGAATTGATGGCAGACAGTTCTGTGGATGGTCTGTGCTTTGACAACTATTTCTTTAGTAGTTTTCTGGGAATTCTTAATCCACGTTTGAAACTGCCACTTCAAAGAAAATATGATCGTGCTTAAAAGCAGTATTTTTAGTGTGACTTCATAAAAAATTCTGCAGCTGTAGGTAAAAAAAATTACACTGAAAGATTTAAGAGCCAAAAGAAAACCCACAACACACATGATAATTAAATATTTCAAACTGGGCTACGTTTGGCCTGAAACCACCATCAAAGTATTCTGCATAGATGATCAGCAAGTGAAACTCTTCAAGTGACAGAATACAAGACAAGACTCTTACACCCCACCTTTCCTTATGAACGTGACACAGCCTGAGAGAAAACAGGATCGTCCTCTCGCCTGTTAGACGGCAACGACACGACTTTGAACCATTAACTGGTAGAACAGGTTGATAATTGCCTGTTCATGTGAGCCACCAGTACCTCTGTAATCCTCTTCAGCTCTGACCTCAGCACTCATGCTAACTTCAGTTCCTTAAATCCACCCGTGTCCACGGGTTTCTTAAATCCACCTTGTTCCCTCTGACATGGCCACCATCAAATTTTCTGTAAACAACTTCTTTATTTCCTGCCAAGTTTTCTTCTCCTTTTCTTTATTTAATTAATAGGAGTCTTTTATGATCCCTTTGTAATGGAGACCTAAACAAAACTGTAAAATCAAATTGCCCTAAATTATATTTTAAAAGCCTGGTTATGGCAGGCTTAGTGCGCGACGCCAGCAGCATCCAGCACCAGAAGTCAACAACTCTTGAGCTATGGGCAAGGTCTGCAGGTGAATCGTTTCTGCTTTTTGCCTAAGAATCACGTAGTTATCGAGAAATTCTCTCTGGCTTATATAATCAAATATTAGAATCACAGAATGGTTTTAGAATGTTCTTAGACTTTTATCTCATAACTTAATCTTCTGTCTAGATTTTAATTATCCTGTCTATTAATATGTTCATTATTTTAAAGTATTGTGCTTAGATATTTCCTATTGTGTAAGAGGAATATCCCAGACAAAAAATGTCTTAAGTCATTTTGTCAAACAGAATTTGATTAAAATAAAGTTACTGACCATTAAATAGATCTATAGTTTAATTTAATAATAAGGGATTTAATGCAAGCTATTGTTTAACATGTTTTATACTCCACTCTAAAAGAAATTGATGAGGTAATGCTAGCAGACAGCTTGAAAAAAGTCAAGGATACCAGGACATTCCAAAAATCTTACTGTCTCCCGAGAACATTTTTTAACTCTGACATCAACCATCTAATAAAATCTGAATCCAGCAGAGGTCTTGTGAATGCATTTGAAGTAATTCGATGCAAAATTATCTCCAAGACAGATGAAGTAGGAAAAAACTACTAGTTTTTGCTCAAAGATTTGAAGGAGAGTAAATCTTTGGAACCGTACCTGACTTAGTAGCAGTGCTGATCAAAAAAGTTAGTAGTAAATTGTCTGGTGTGATTGATATTAAGAAAAACTTAATGATGGTTAAAGTGGCCACGTTTCTTTTTTTTTTTTTTAAATAATGTTCAAAGCAACAAATTCATTTTGAAGTTTGTTACAAACCAGACACTCAATCAGAAGATCAGGAAGTCATAAAGTCAGGATTTGTTTCATTAGTGAAATGCCCTAGAACGTTCCTTCTGACGCTCCTTTTTCTCTGTATAGCATTACTACTTCAAGTTTACATACTTTAAGGAATTATTTCCAGACATTTCTCCCCTGAAACTGTTCCTGAGGAGTGTGCCTTTTTGGATTTTACGTGAAAATAGTTATTACAGTTTGGACAGCAAAGTGTCAATCAATTTGCCCCATATAACAAGTGAAAGACCTTGGAAAAGTAGAACCACCTTTAGAATTTATTTTATGTCCATATTAGGTAACTAGTTTAAAAAAAAAAAACACAAAACAAACCAAAAAAACTCCACAACAATAAGCCCTTCTATTTAAATATGAGACTCACATTTACAACTTTAAACCTGCATCCCTGACATTCTCTGATCAGTGTACTGAAAACGGGAGGTAGTTTCCTCCCCACGAACACAATTAAGCATGAATTTTTGATGAAATCCATATGATTCCATCTAGTTGCCTACATTTCAATTAAGTTGCACACTTTGTTTGCATTCCAGCAGTTTATGAAACTTTTGCATGCTTAGAGAGGCACTGCTGCAATGTTATTTGCTGGATTACCAGGCAGGAAATGTTAACAGCAACAATGGATTTTAAAATTACACAGGATTTCATGACTGAGCAGGTAGATATGAGGCAAAAATGTAGCACTTCATCATCAGTGTCCAATCTTCATTCAAACCCACTGAGGCAACAAGTAAGTATGTTGTTTTAATTGTCTTTTTTTTTTTTTCCCCCCCAACTGTTGTTAGCTGGGTTTTTGCTTAGCTTTCTTGTTTTAAACTGACATTTTCACTCAAAAATAAAATAGTAATCAATTACTAAAGAACTCAGTCTGAAAAAAAAAACCTTTCTCAAAACAGGAGTAGTTTCTCCATGAAAACTGTAATTTCTCCTTTTAAAAAACAAGTTTAATAGAACGGAGATACACCTCTACACACCAAATTTCTCCTTCTGACATTTTATGACAGATTTAATATTTTAAATGCATAAAGCAGTTCAAATTATGGAAGATATTTATTGTCATCTTGGGACACTGCATAAATCACAACAGTTCTTTCTTTCTTTGTCATAGGATCACACTACAACATTGAAAAACGGCCATTAAAAAAAGGTTTTTTGCAGTTAAAAGCATAGTGATCTATAACTGAAGAGCTGTATCATGTTTCTGGGTGAGAGTTAACTATATACTACACACTCAGGCCATCTGACCTGTGGTGCTATTATGTTTCTTGAGGTACTTGAAGCCCTTGAGGTCAGGAATGAAGTTGCAAATAAGACCTAAATTATGTGTTGGCCAAAGCCTCCACTCCGAAGCAACGCACAATTTTCAGCACATCTAATTTGACTCCTCCAGTATTTTTCCACTGGATGAGTGAAGGTATTACTGTGTTAAAGAATTACTCACCCGATGAGGGACACCATCTGCTCCACTATATGTTTGCTGAATGTTATAATAACGAAAAGTTTCTGTAGGAAGGAAAACATCAGTTAGAGAAACATTTGATCAGAAGGGAAGCAGAGACAATGGGGCAGGACAATTTATGTTCCTTTCTGACCAGACAGCTCCAGCACTCACACACAGTTTTCCCTTCTCTTTTTTTTTTTCCCCCAAGATCCTTAATTTTCAATACTCTTTTCAAAAAGAGGCAGGAGAGAGAAAAGCTGTTTACTTTATTATTCTATTTCCTCATAGATTTCATTTTTTGCAATGTTTTTGTAGCCTGTGTTACTAACCATTCGCATCCTCCCCAAACCTAAATTCCCAGAAGCTCAAGGTCACTTTACTCCATCAACAATGTTTTAATGGAAAAACAGTCATCACCATGCAGAAAAATTCGCATCCCCTTGTACAAACACATGTACTTAAAGATCACACAAGTGAAAAATAATATATCTTTTAGTCCTCTAGTTCACGTGCTTCTGACACAAAAAATACTTAGTGAAGAACAAACTCAGAGCCATTGGGTACTTGTCTGTTCAAAAAAACTTAAGGTTGTCATTGTCACCGTCTCTAATGCAACAGATTATTTGGGACAGAGTAATTTCTGTAAAAGAAACTTCTGTAACACAAAGCTTATTTTGCAGAAAATCTCAATGTCCATAATTTTACTACTCCCTTCTCCTCGAAACACAAGTTCAAATTTTATTAAAACAGCCTGTGCTAATTCCACTTCTCTCATATTTGACTGCTTGTCCGTTTGCAAAGAGTGAGCAAGACTCTGTAGATGTGGGTACACACACAAACGGTTCCCACAGGCTCCTCAAATGGGTTTAAACATGATCTAAGGAGAAGTTTATTCACTAGTCTGGAAATAAGGGATGTGACTCGAACTGCACAAAATGAGTTCGTGGTCCGGAGGAAGAGGCCAGTCAAAAGCAGCTCCAGGATGGCCACTGCACCAGAGTCACACTTGCTTCCTGTCTAGAGAACGATTTCATTAAAAGCCTTTTCCATGACTCTGACGTTTCCTAAATTCCAAATTGCAGCAAGATCACTACAAAAATCAAGGCTATTGCACAAGAGTACGCTTGAAATCAAGCATCGCAAAAAAGAGAATCCTAATAGCTAAACATGTTACAAAATCAGACGATTTACCAACTGTACAAGACACTGGGAAATAGTTTTTCACTTAAAGTTGATCTGAGCGTGGAGCACTACAAATTACATAGCAAAGATTCTGCTAGCTAAACAAGGCAAACAAAATAATAAAAGGAATATTACACGCATTCTATTTCACTTTTCTCTGCTGCCAGAACAAATTCTAACAGTACACAGATTTAAAAGTAGAAAGATTCAGGTAATACAAAAATAAGTGTGGAGAAAAAGCTGTTCTATCACAGTAAATGAAAGAATTTTCTGTTTAAGGACTGTGCAAATTAAAACAACCATTTACAAAAAGATGGGAAGAAAAAAGGGTTGAAGATTGAAATCTTCTGTTCAGGGCAAAAGAAAGATTTTTTTAAGCAGCTTGATGAGGGTACTGGATGAGTAATTTTTTACTACTAATAGCTTCTGCCACTTTAATGTAGTGACAAAGATTTCTAAGCAAGACAGCAACAGGCACTGCACCAGTCCTATGGAGATGCTCAAAAAAACCCAAGCCCCAGCTGAAAACACTGGTTCTAATCATTACAGATAGAGCCACGTAGCTCATGACACAGCATTAAACCCACACTGCCATCAGTAAAGAATCACCAGGGAATTGATACTTCATCGTTCATCGGACAAAATGGTGACGCATTTTAAGAGCAAGGCTCAACAGCTTTGAAAGCAACTGGAGATTCTGATTGCCAAATTCAGAACATCCGGTAAAGCTCTGCGTTAGCAAGAAAAACTGGACAGACTCTGAAATCAGGCTCTTTCAAAATAACATGGGCTGAGGACACCAAAAACTGTAACCATGCTGGAAAGCTACGGACAAGGTGCCCAGAGACAAACCCTCAGACTCTGTCTGCAGGGCCCAGGGGGAGTGGGGTCTTCTCTACACGCTCAACTGAGACAAACGGCAGCGTTTAAAATTGCCGCTTAACCGGTCAGGGCCGGCTGCAGTGCTCTTTGAAACGACCACTTGTTACCAAAAAGGCAAGTTCATTATGAGTACTAAGTCCTTTCAGCCTGGTAAAAACCGTAGGTAAATAACTTGGCTAACCACCAATTTCCTGAGTGGTGTAGGCAGCGAGCTCATTAGTTTGCAGCTATAAATTATTTAGTTGCCTAAGTTTGGAGCGTAAGAAGCCTAGCAGATCCTTTATTGTCAATCCTTTGCACCAAATTAATTTCCACTACTTCAGGTCAGGAAGGGAGATTCCAGAATTCATTACCAAATAACACAGTGTAATAGTCAGGAAGGGAGAAAAAAAAAAAAAGCCTTCACCCCAGAGCCCTAAGGGAGGTGTAGCATCTACTTGCCTGGATATGCATTTTAATTACTGCTTTCCCAATCAAAGTTGCACCAAAGAAGGTCCAGAAGGGAACTAGAAAGTGTCCACATGTTATCCCGGCCAGGTCAAACAGAGGGTTTGGAATCTATGAAGAGCAAGGGAAAGAAGTTCATGATTGCAGCACTTACTTCGATGAACAGGAACACGACAGGCTTTGAAACTCTGAAAAATGAACATTTTCCCCTTATTCCACTTAATCCAAAACTCTTGTGTCTTAATACTTGCAAAAATGTTAATGTCACACCACATAACTTAAGTCTCTGGGACTCAGCTAGACAATGTCCAGACAATTCCATTCTCAGGGTCCCTCCTTACCCCTGGATTTTAAGAAAGCTAACAAAAAGTTATCTATGCGAAATGCACAGAAACCACAGTAAAGCCATTTTGAGTAATTTATCAAATTTTCTCCCTGACAAGCACATCGCTCTTGGAAGCTAGCACTCCAAGTGATCCCCAGCGATTTCCATCTGAGAAAGTACATTAAAAACTGGCATTTACAGTCATATGTATCCAGTTTAAAAGCACTTATTAGATTCTATTAAGCATATGCATTTCATTTAAAATTAAATATTTTTTTTAATTGTTATACTGTTGGCTTGACGTTCGGTATTGTGATACTATCTGTAAAATATTTTTGAAATTAAACCAAGAAAATATCCAAATTCCAGCCTTTCACACTTCGGATGCAGAGCAAGGGCAGACTGTCTGAGTGAACGCACGGGGGATGTGTAATTCCCAGTAGCAGTGTATTACTGGGCTGATATCCTGCAGTACTTGTGTTGTTTTGTTAAACAAATAAATAAAGAGCGTAGATTGTTACAGACCAGAAAAGATAGTAACTTTGCAAGTGACTGACTGGAAATCTGAAATGTGTGAGAAAGGCTGTGAGGATTGCACTGAGCTGTTAATAGACCAGCAATTCAAATTTACGAGCGCCCACAACGCCACCTGCATAGGAAGAAATCTGAGACGGTCTCTAAACACGCTCCGCTTCAACTAAAATGATTCTTTACCTGTGACAGCTGTCTTAGGCATGGCAGGCTGGTAAATTATTTACCTATTCCACAGCCAGATAATTCGGCTCTTCTGAGCCATGTCTGCTCTAGGTCTCAAGTATGCTCTTTGTTGGTGGGTTTCAGGGTTTTTGTGTAAGTTCACATGTTAATTACTGCATCGCTGTCACCACAGAGGGAGCAACGTGCGTTAGGTAGGGGTGACTGTGGAACACGTTAAACATCTCACAGCAGAGTTACTCAGCGAGTCCACATGAGGGTACAGCAGCAGGCCAGCGAGGTTTTCTCTTTGTTTTTGGAAAAACACACACACGCAGCACTGAGAGTTGCCAAAAAAAGCCCACAAAGACAGGAGGGCAAATTTTCACAAGTCACAGCAAGGATCTTCCAGGGCTAATTCTTGCTTTGTTCCTTCCCCAGAGCTGCCTTTACATGGGAAATTAGCTCCAGACAATAATATGACTTTCTTATTGCCACTAAACAACATTACATTCAGTTGACTTCACTGGATAAACTTGCACAGTTTTATATTCCATTTGATTGTGTTTTTATGTAGCCTTTAGAAGCCTCTATTTGACAGACAACAACCCGTACTTGGGACAGTCGTTACCACTTTACAGCCAAGTTCTCTAATAATAAAAAATCCACCCAACTACAATACTGTGTGAAATCCAAAGGTAAGACAGCAATTCTAGGGGAGGCAAGAGAAGGAGACGCCTTCTAGCATATGGAGAGGCAGCAACAAGAAAAGCAGCCCTGAAACAAAGCCCTGAAGCTCCCAGGGGAACGCATGGACACAAGGAGCACACCTGGGGGCTGCCTTCCTCACCTACAGATGCAACAGAAAGGGACAGCTTGGAATCCCTGTGCTCTTTCCATGCCTCTGCCACATTTAACCTCACCCTCCTCATGGCTACTCTGCAGTTACTCTGTAAACACGTTTACAAATCCTCAAGCGCACCGAGGCGGATTCACGATTCCCCATCCCTCTCCCAAGCCGGGGGCAGCCTATATAAGCAAAAGCAAGCTGGAGCTCATGCGCGTTGAAGAACAGTGCAGCGAGTAGGTAAGAAGTTAAGAAAATGTTTAAGTATTACTAAGCAGGAACTATGAAGAGTTTACACATCACCTCTTGTGTTTACCAACTCCTTCCTCATGTTCTCCATTTATCCACACCGCACTTTGTCCAGCCACTCCAGTAACTCATCCCTGCCATCTCCAAGCTGCTGTTGTGATTACACAAGGCAGACAGAAGAGCCTATGCAGGGACGTCTCACAAGATGGTGACTAGAGAGTAATGAGTCAGAGGCAGTGAAGGAGCAGTCTAAGAGCTTACTGGATGGAAAGATTTAAAGAACAGCTTGTAACCTACTCTAAACATTAAGACAGTTCAAAAGATTAGTAAACAGAAGTGGTATGCCAGCAGCTATAATCAGATTAATTCTTTCCAGCTAACACAGGTTACCTACATTTGAGCAAACAGCATTGTCATGTCCACAATTTAGGAAACTAAGAGAGATGCCAGACAAGTGTGGAATGAATACCTCACCAGCTGAGCAGCTGGGTAATGGCTGTGGTTATTCCGGAAGAATGGGATCACAGGGCACCTACACTTCCCCCCCTCACTGTAGTCACATTTCTGTGCATCACATCCCACATTTTCTGTGGGGGATGGAAGAATAAGGCACATCATTCCTACCAGCTTTCATTAAGCTTCCAGAGAGAGATTTAAACCTCAAATGGTTCAGTATTTTTCTACTCCAAAAGAACAGTATTATCCTCCTTAAAACACTAACATAGCATCAGCTGAGATGCTCGTATCACCTCTTGCTTAGAGAGAAAAAACCTACAAGTAGTTTGTAGTTCATATAGCCATGACTCAAACTGGCTTCCTCATTCTGCTCTCTCTGGTTCCTAGTGACCCAAAGACACCTCCAGATCAGACGTAGGAGAATTGTTACGGATGAATATCCTAATCAGGATTTATACAGGTAGCTTTCCACTCTTTACTTCACTTTGTGTTTATCTTTGGATCTGAAGATGTCAGGTACTTAAGCTATAGGACATACAAGGTTCCAGCAGAATCTTTAGGTAATACTACAGCTCTTGCTATATCTTGTCAGCTAATAATCTGGGCTAGGAAGGTCCCAACGGGGTAACTGTCCGTGGGCATACGACCTGATCTGCCAAACACCTGCTGACACAGAGCGGTGAGCAGCAGTGTGCACGTCTCTCTTAGAGAGGACGTGGTCTCAACATCAAATGCAGGGAGCAACCCTGGTCTGAAATAGAAACTTGTTGAATTTTAAGAATGTCTTAGTTCAGTCTCTTGCAAGTCGTCCTTACTGTGACAAGTCTTTTGCATCTTCAGTGAACTGGCCTGTTTTTATCAGGTTTCACCACACCATGCTGAACTATACAATGAATTGCATTAACTTCTGAAAAAAGGGATCCCTTGCTGCACCATTCTTTTCAGATGGATTAAAAAGGAAATAGAGCTATTCCAAAATTATTTTCTTCCAAGGAGAACTAGTGTCAAGAAGCCCAACAGTGAAGCTGAAGGCTGGGTTGGTAAATTAGTTGTGCTTTTATGCAGAATTCTCTGGGTTTGGTACTAACGAGTTTCTCAGTGCTATTGTACCTGCCCGTACCACAACCATCCCATTCCTTTGAGTATCACAGAGAGCACAGGAACAGCGAGGAAGGCTTGAGGATCCACACGGACTCAAATAAAACCAAGCCACGGTTCACAGCATTAATTTCATTGCAATACCTTCAAACTGCAATTTGTGATTACCAACTCTGTGGTTGAAATGAACTTACTGAAGCGCAGGCCAATATGCCGAAGAACCCAACCTTCTGCACCAGGTTCTGGACAGCCAGTTTAGCCCGGGAAGCAAAATCCTGCCAAGAAGAAAATGAAGCATTAACGAGGCAAAACCCAAAACGGACATACCTCAAAATGTACGTGATTTCAATATTCTCCATGCTGTGGGATTTCCTAATTAGAATCCGGGAGAAACAAAAAGGCCAATTTGAAACTCTGGGCTTAGAGGGAAGAGAGAGAAATTCACAATGCTCAGCGTGAAAATCTGACCACCCACATGTATTGAGTTCTGTTTTTCAAAACCCTGCAAGTGGTACGAAGTTCACACTACTTTGGAAACAGGTTTCCCAGTATTTATTTCCCCGTATCTTTGAATTGCCAGCGGTGCTTAAAAAAGCAAAGGGAATTGATTCCTTCAATACCATTCACAATGTTAGAAAGGCACTTTCTCAAAACACAAAGCCAGAATATAATAATCCCATTATACCCTGAGTTCTTTACCCTCAAATCCAGGATCTTAATCCAAATAGCTAACTCCAGGTACTCTCTACAACAAACTTGTAAAGTTCATTAAATCTATAGACTTGAATCTAAAATACTCTAAAAGCAACAAAGGCGGCAAACCATAAAATGTTTGAGCTATTCTTTAAAAAACATGCTAAGAACATGTTGCCTACTTGTATTTTGTGATCACAACTTCCAGACGCACTCATGATAAACTCAAGAGTCTCAGAGTTTACCAAATACACACTAAACATTTTAAAAAGCAAAAATAAAGATTCTCACGAGCAGTTTATTTGAATGTGAGAAGTGAATTTACATGAGAGTAAAATTCTTTTGAAGCAAAGCTGTCCAAAAAGTTAAAAGCAGGGTCAGTGTTATCTCTTCAGGCTTGGCAACAGTAATCATAAAAAGCTGAGTATCCTTGGTAATAGCAAACTTCAAAAAGCAATTATTAATTCTTTTAAAAAACCCTACGTATAAGCAATAAAAAGCTGATTTTCCAGTAGCAATGCAATATTCACCAATTTGAATTTTGTAGATAACTCATCAGATAAATTTCACAAGGAAGTTACTTTAATCAATAATGGACGAAATTCTAAATTCCACACTAAGGTAACTACAAGATAACCCAGAAGAATTAAATTAATGCAATTTTAACTTTGTTGCAATTCTCTTGAAACCTTCAATGCTCTATACCAATGCAAGTAAATTACAGTTGCTTGACAATGTTCTTGCATGTTGTTTAAATTCTGAACTGTAAAACTGAGAAAACTCTATGACAGATTTATAAAAAAAAAAAAATAAAAGCTGTGATAAGGCCAAGGCCATTTAGTATCTTTTTACACTCCTTTTTCAAGTGGTAACTTTTCTCCATTACAGAGCTTTAAAAATAGTGAACTAATTCTCAAATAAAACACTCCCAATTCTTACTAAAATGAGAAGAATTCTATTTATTATACTTTATATTTGAAAAAACGACCCAAACTAAAACAAATGCTTCAACTTAGAGAAAAATGCCAAATAAATGAGATTTCCTACATCTTATAGTGGGACATTTTTAAGCACAGGAGAAACTAAAAACCCTTTTAGAACGGTCTGTAAGAGGTGAATTTGCTAACTTCAACCAGGAGTAACACCTTGGGATCGTGAATGTCTTACTGCAAAATAGAATAGGTGAAATATTGACATTTTGTTGAAAACTTGCTCCTGATGTTTTTCTATTCGACTTCTAGGATAAGCCCAGTATATGTATGAATGATTAAACCCTGCTCCCAGGGAGGCTGATACCAAACACTTGAACTTCTGCTAGCAGAAACAGGTCTAGAACATGCTTCCACGACAAGTAAACTAAACTTTTTCATGCTTTTCAGTTAAAAGAGTGCATTTTGACACAAATTTATTATTTATAACAAACACAATCATTTACCAGGGAACTAAGTCCAAAAAATCTTGCGACATCAAGGGCAGTTCCTTCTCAAACTAGAATTCCCTCACCGGTATTTCCAAGTTAGTAACCAAAACTGAAACAAGGCAATGCATGATCACTAGCAGGGGTCAGCACCGACATACACATTCGGTCCCACCGAAGATTTAGGGCAGGAACTGGAAAGACTCTGCAAGACTCTTCTGCAGAATGTGACCACGCAGCTACCAACAGCGAAAATAAAACACAGCACACTAAGGAGACAACTCTAATTCCTTAACCAAGCACAAAAGTAGAAACTTGTCTTCAGAATTTCTCTACAAATTAATTATAAAAAAATGAAAAAGGGTGCTAAAGCGTAACGGTGACATTGTCCTTTCACCAACAGATTTTCTTCTTTGAAAAGGTGAACTGAAAAAGTAGTGCCTTATGTAGGAATTCCCTAAGATGTCTCCCCCTGAACTCTACAGCAAAGCCGACTGTGACCAGGATATTTTCAGTTCCTATTCTGTTCACCATTTCACAATACTCATGGGGTTAGAACAATATTTTCGCTTTTATAAGCCAATAAAGATTATTTTCACAGCTCCATAAATTCCATTGTAAAGTATCTTTAAAATAAAACACTACAACCTGATTATTCAAATAGGTCCACAATATATTTCCATGGAAGTTGTTTCTAGTCCAATTTTGACATATTTACCCATTATCTTAGACTGCAATGCTCATACACTGTTGTACTAATTTTCACAAGCTGGATTTGGAAACAAGCTCTCTAGCAAGTGACCTATAAACTAATGCTTGCAGCACAGCTGGTTTAATGAAATATATTATTATAATTACATATAGATCAACTGTATTAACTTAGTGCAAGCACAGTGCACCATTTTCCATCCAATTTCTTAAAAATAAACAGCTTCCCTCACCCACATTTCTAGACTGCTGCAAAATTCAAGGCTGCCTTAAAACTAACTTTTTCCCTCCAGCTAAAAACATACACTTTTTGTTACAAAACCAATGAAGAAAGCGTTGAAAAAAGTAACAAGTTTGTGTCTCAAAAAAAACCCAACCCAAACCACTGTTGGGGCAATTTTTCCTAATTTATTAATTCATAACTTAAAAAAAATAAAGTTACTACACAGATTATTTTTTCTTGAAGCTTTTTTACATTCATTATGTATCACAAAGTACTCCATGGAAAGCACAGCTCTAGTTCTAAACATTTCAGTCAAGAACTTCTAATTTGTCTTCCTTTTTCAAACTTTCTAAATAAGCCAAAAGAGATAAATTAAGGAATTTTTTTTTCCTATTCTCTATGATCTAATGTAATCATAACTGTTTATAATTTGCATGGTAATGTACACATCAGGGTTGCAATAAAACTATGTATTTGTAGTCTCAACATTTACTTTAATGAAAACAAGTTCAGAAATATTTGTTAGGTTGCTTCCTTAAATTTCGTTTGTAAAATCTTTGCGACATCTGCAATAATAAAAAACCCTTAAAAGTTTCATTTCTCAGAGAATACAATCATCAGTTTCACAACTTTTACCTATTTCACAACATAATTTTTCTGTTATAAAGCCTGCACAAGGAACAATATTTTCTCTATTTTCTTAAGCATTTGAAATAAAAGCAGAACAACTTCCACAACTTACTGCTTTAAAAAAATAATTTTAAAAAGACATAAAAGTTTAGCTACTTACAGGCAAAACATTTTCCCCCAAAATTAAAGTATCTAGACTGGACTCGACTCTCAGCTAATATGATTCATGCTCTATAACATTTCAGGATACTTTAGCTCACTATGTCCTTTCAAAGATGACTTGTTTTTTTGGTTTGGAAATACATTTCCTGTGAGTGCTACAATACAGGCGAAGGAAGGTTAAATGATTAAACATTACTTCATTGGGTTAATCATCAGATCTTAAGAATTGAGATGGAAATAGGAGGCATAAAAAGGTCAGTGCTGAAATACTGATTCACAAGTCTCAGCTGGCGGCTTGAGGAAGTTTGCTTCATATCTGCCTTCAGTAAAATGGCACATTTTTATTACTACATGTTGCAAAAGCAAAAAAACCCTCCCAAACCTCCAAAGCTAAAGGGATAGTAAAGAGAAATTACATGTTTTGCTGCTAAGCCAGATTTACCACAATGTTTCCCCTTTAAATATGCATTACAGTACAGCTTTAAGTATAACTTCACATGGATCATTTATCCCTATAAAAAAGATCTCCTTCAAAGAGTGAATTGACAGTCTTGTCTTAACTACAAGGCTTTGTTCTACCCGTTTTGTTTCCATTTATAATTTAAATCTCTATTTCTTCTTTCTTCCTTCATCGGTAAAGCAAGTTGCACAAGCTCTTCTGTATTTGAGTACACAACATTTCACTGGATTTAGCTAACAAGGTCAAGAACAAAAAAAAAAATTTTTTTTAAATATTTTCCTTCTATAACACTGATGTATTATCAAAAAACAGAACAGCCACGATTTATTGTTCACATTGAAATTGTGAAGCCTCTTTTTTCTTAATCTCTAAGAACAGAGGTTGTTGATGGATCCATAGCAAGTAACTAGATGATGGTTACCAAGGAGCTCTGAATAATCAGCATTGGATTGAATCCCACAGTCCTTACAGAAACAACCCGTAAGACTTCGACAGAAGATATTTGCTTGAACGACTGCACAGATGGGCCTATAACAATTATGTAAAATAACAGTTTATTTTCTAACATGAAGTTCCAATCGGTTTTTAGGAGCACCAAGAAAGCTACGACTTCCTATCACAAACCAACTCTTCCTTGCGTGCAGCAGTGATGGCACTTGTCAATCTCTGAGAGATACGATCCAGAGTTTGAATGATTTGAGGCCCAGAAAAACCTTTCTTCTATCACAATGTTTTTCTGCTGTAAATATGTCGGGCACTTTACAAACATATGAGCAACATCGGTGGATATAGCCCCAAGAGGAAGGTCAGTGAAGAAGGGAAGGAATACGTACACCTGAGACTAAATTCAATCACAAGTCCACAGTGTGTGTATTCTCCACGAGAGAGAACAGTAACTTAATGCAGGACCGGGGGACGCCGGTGATGCGAGTGTCAACGCAATCGCTCACGCCGCATATTAGTTACGTAGCAGGTGGCAGCC